TGTACAGTGGCTGTGCTCTGTTAACTTTCTTTCATCTAATGGTTGAATTAATCCCAGCCAGGTCTTGTTTTAGCAGTATAATTCTTAGAACTGTCAAGTAAAGAAGTCTGAAAGGCAGAAATAAATTATTACAACTGCATTCAGACGCAGCAACGTTTTAAGAAATAAATTAGGCTTAACAACACAAATCAGGTCTTCTTTTCCTAAACTTGTCAGCTTGAATTACAACATGATTGGATTGGGCTTGGTGCTTTAAAATAGCCTAAACAGAGACAATGCCAGGATGTCAGGTGACGTTCATTTATGTCTTTAACAGGGAACAACTTCAACCAGTCCAGGAGTGAGATGAAGAAATGCTGTTTTGGACCCCAAAGGAATGAAAAGTTTCAGCTGTAGACCTTCAAACAATTTACTCAAGGTCACCAGGAAATGTTGGTGTGGCTATGACAGCAACGGTGGAAAATGTAATTATTCTTCAGAATTGGGATTTTATGTTGTAGCCTCATGCAAAGTAGTGGATACATTCTCAGATGAGTTGAGTGTGTTTCTATTCAGACCCTAATTCACATTCAGTGCAAACATTTGACATCAGAAGTCAAATAAGTATTATATACAGTCTATTTCTGTGTAATTTATTCCAGTAAATCTACAGCTGTAGCTGTAATGATGGATTTAATTATGTGGACAGAGGAACATTTTGTATGTACATTTTGTTTACATACTTACATAGCAAAATACCTACATTGCAAATCAATGGGTCCAGTTAATGGGTTAATAAAAGTATTACGCAAAAATGCTTCAAACCCAAAATTAGAAATAACCTTTGAAATTTTGGTCACATGTTTTCTATTCTGATATCAGTGGAAGAGGACATTAGTAAGCCTTTTGTCATTGCTCAATTTAGCTTAGGGTTAAGACTATTTACTTTTATACTTATCGGCCAGAATCCATGTGGTTGACCCATTGCACACTTTTGAATCCATGTGTTATCCACACGTAAAACCCCTTTATAGTTCAAAAAACCTTGTAATATTGTCGTTAGTATGGGAATCATATGCAACAACCAACATTTGTGCTACTTATGCACAGCAAAACAGGTAGGTGCTTAATTTGTTTCACTTGGGATTGGAAGGATAAAAAGTTTCCAAGTTGTACTTTTTACATTTTTCTATACAAATAAAAAAAAATCTGTACATTAATTTGTCCATCCCTTTATTTTTACTAGTACAATTCTAATTAGAAGTGTTGCCTCATATGTTTCCACAGTAAGTTAAACTGTTAGGCTGGGGGAGAAAAAAAATCTTCCTTCGGAGAAAAATAACTTGCCCAGGTCAAAAACAATGCATTGCACGCAGATTTATCATTATTATTATTATTATTATTATTATTATTATTATTATTATTATTATTATTATCATTTTAGTTTATTTTTTTCTAAAAAAGATGCATGAAAAGAAATCTCCTCGAAAAATGGAAAGACTCAAGAGAACACATTAAACTTCAGTTCAGTTGAATAATAAATCTTTAACCATTCATATAAAGAGGAAATGTCGGCGAGACCATAACACAGGGTAAGAGAGGGTTGATTCAAGAGCAACAAAAAGGGCAATCATTAACCTTTAAGTCAATAAACAGCAACTGAACATCAGCAGTAGGTGTTCAGATGTGTCTCCTGCGGAAACACTGATGAATATTTCCATTCTTTCAGTCTCAAAACGAAATTGAGGCCAGAGTCACCGACAGTTATGAGCCTGATCATGTTTCATATGAAACACCGACACAGAAGGGAGGAAGTGGTGCCGGTTTCCTCTTCAGCTGCGTGACTGAATATAAACTGTACAGCCGCAGGCTTCAGATAGGGGGCGGGAGTACAGTAGCTGCTCACACAAAGCTTTGACTCTTTGACCCCTATTTGAAAGGACTAATCTGGCACTCAGACACAGATGATGGATGTTTCTGTCTGGGAGTAAATATCAGCAATTCAAATGTAACGTTTCCACAATGCACTGTTTTGAGTCACAAACCTTTCCTCAGCTACAAAGTTTGTCATACATTAAATAGCAACAAGGTTTCTGTTAGGAAAGGGGACTCACCCACAGCAATTGTATAATATGTATCAAAGAAAACACAGCTATGAAAAAAAAAATCTTTCCATTCCTGATGAAATAAAATTTAAGCAATGTTTAATAGTTTTCACAGAGACTGAAATATGTTGCAAAGCTGTAATAAACCTTTGCCTTGTTTGTAACAGGGCAAAAGGTCAACAGTGACATGCCATGTGGGAGTGGACACTGACATTTGTCCCCATTAACTTGCATCTGTGAGTGGAAGCTGGATTGTTGGCTTCAAGGAAGCAAATACCATTCAGGCTTCACTTCCAATTCATAGTTATGTGCTGCTATGTACTTGCCTTTCAAAAACAAGCCCCAATTAAAACATGGAAAGGTTTAAGGGAAATTAACACAGATACCTCCAGAAACACCTCAAGCTAAAAGAGCACAAAACCTCTATGTGGATTTAGCAGGAGAGACATCCATTTATCAGAGAGAGTCGCTCATTTCATAATTTACACTTATTACTGAGATGGGCTATCTTAAATTCATCCGAAATCTCTTTTTCAGCTAGAGAAAGAACCTGTGGCTTCAAAAGGTTCCATTTCGCACTTGCGGAAGACATTTCCTCCTACACAGAAAGTGGAAGTTGCTCAAACCAAATCTGTCTTTATTTGCAGGAAGTTGTTTTCTGGGAGGACAAGACGACCTTTACCATGCCGACTAAATTCATACTTGCAACAGTATGAACTTGCAAAAGACATCTGAAAAGCAGAAAGATGCAAAACACCTTGTTACAGAAACTTTTGTTTTCATGTGTTCTGTGGTTAAAGTAAAGTTACTTTGGCAACCTCATGGTCACACAAAAAAATGACTCTCCTCCCAGACCTTATGAAACAAAAATAGGACTTTTTTGACAAGCATCTTTTCAAGAGAAAAACTCAGACAACTCAGTTTCCAGACTGTGCTGATTTTGGGTTAATCAGACTGGAGACACATAATCAAACGACATCTTCCTCTTCTCTCATCATCACAAAACTTTGATCATGTAGATTATTTTATAGCCGATAGAAAACAATTGGTTGTAAACACACCCAACAAACCTTTGAACACATTAAAATGCAATTGCAGATATCCAGGAAGGGGTTCCTTGGGGCCTTTCAGTGTTGTGTCAGCCAAGTTGAGCAAAAGGCCATTGGAGACCATGTCCCCTGTGTCGTAGTGGAACAACATGCAACTAATGCCTGAACAATTACCCAGAGGAACTCCACTTCCAGACACAATCGGAACAGTTTTAGCCAAATCTATACAAGATGTTCATTACAGTTCCACACGTCGTACCCTGGTGTACGTTTCAAACTGGTAAAGCTACTGCCTCCTCCTTTGTTTATCATGGGCGGAGTGTTCTGTCGTCCATCCTGCTTCGTATCCTTAAGCTGTATGGGAAAATGTTCGGAAGTGAGATCAACACATCAAGTCCAAGGCTAAACCACATCCTGAATGTTAAAAAAAACCAAAACAAAAGAAAACCTTAAAGTTCAGTCCGTACGTTTCGATAAGAACAACAACAACAAAAAAAAATCATGTGGGTGTGACACTGGAGGGACGCAAAACTGCTTCTCATGGCATCTCCTTAATTCTGTAAAGCATCATCTCGGGAGGTGCTCAACTCATGCAGATTGTTTGACAGGTTTTTGGAGAATCCTTTGGAAAAAAAAAAAAGCAGTTTGTTTACAAAAGATAAACAATGTTAACATAAACCTGGAGAGAGGTTCCTGCCTAGTTCAGAAATGCTGTTTCACATCTTTCCTGAGAAAGGGTGCCTCCGGGCTGATAATAGTTGCAGTTGGGTGTTTTCTTTTCGTAAATCACTTTCAGCACAGCCAAGGCAAGTCTTCAAGGCAGATAAAGAGCAAGTTGAGGATGTTTGTTTTGACTCTTCCTCTACAGATGTTTCCACGTAGTCAAAGCAAAGTCACAAGAATTAAATAAGTATTGTGAGGAAGAAGTTATTTCCTCCCCAGAACCTTCCATGACTGTTGCTTTTATTCCTTTCACGCATGTTTGAGAAATCCTTGAATCTCCTATAGCAGCCATTCAGCTGTGCAGAACGCACAAGGGGTGGGGGATCAAGCGCCAATTTTGAGGACAAAGCTCTTCCTCAGACCTCACAGAGCAGCCCTTCGCCACGATTCTCTAACTCAGCTCCTTCAGACTAGCAATCAGCAATTAGCAAACAACTGATCATCTATTAGAGGAGCAATGTTGTGAAACAGAGGGACAATTTCAAGACATTAAATTGTGTTGTCAAATTTCTTTTAAGCCATATTTGATATATAGAGCATTTTTATAACAACTAAAGGTTGCATAGTTACTTGATTGTGGTATAAAATGGCACTGTGTCTGGAAAACACATAATACTGCCCCTTTAAAATATTATCAAAATGCCTCCAGACAAAATATACAGCACTAATTTGACACTGTACTCTTGTTTCAAATGACTTTTGCATCACAACTTCATCAAAAAACAACATTAATATTAATAAAGCTGTAGCAAAAGTAGCAGTCATAAGTAGTGTTGTGAGGAATGTATTTCCAATTGAGTATTTATCAGTTTAAAATTTGTATTTTATCTGTTCAAAAATGGTCCTCAAAATGTTCCCTTCTTTTAGAAATGGCTAGAACTTGTTAGAATACTCCTTTATGATTAAGTTTGTTCATTTTGTCATGTGGATACTCAAATGTACATTTCACCTTGTTTAATTAAGGTTTCTCCATTCATTCATTTGTTGTCTTTAGCTTTTCTGAAATGAAGGAACAACATACCCAAATGGGGAAAACAAGAAACATCTTGTCAGCAATATTCCAGTTTACTCTTGAGGGTCCCCTGGAGTTCCCAGGCCAGATGGGATACATACATATAGTCTCAAGTAAGTAAAGCAAGTAAAAACTTGAGATTTGTTATGAATATTTTCTATTCTGCTTTTAAGTGTTTACATTAGTTGTTGCTGAAAATGTTAATGGAATGCTTGTGTCGTCCGGAACTGCCTGCTGGCTCCGATGATCTTTTTTTTGTAACATCATTCTTATTGTGATGTGTTGCCTAGCATAGCACTGCGTGTTCCTGCTCATTCATGTACTTGTTTTCCCCATTTGTTTACCCAATTGGGGAAAACAAGAAACATCTTGTCAGCAACATTCCAGTTTACTCTTGAGGGTCCCGTGGAGTTCCCAGGCCAGATGGGATACATACATATAGTCACCCCTGGGGGTTCTGGGTCACCTCCAGTGTCTCCTCCCAGTGGGACCTGCTTAGAAAAAACCTTTAAAGATAGGAAAACTTTTGATCAGTTGACTGTACCACCTAAACTGACTAATTTTCAAGAAAAGTCTCTTATGTAGGAAGATAAATTCAGCTACTTTTATTCAGGATCTTTTTGTTTCAGTCATGACGCATATCTCATGGCCACAGATGAAATCAAGACCTTCATATTTTGGCTTAGCTGGCCAAAACAAATGAGGGTAAAGGTCACATTACTGCAGACCAGGCCAAAAGCCATTTATTAAACTCCTGCTCCATCATGTCACGCATCAACAAAACCCCAAGATACTTGAACTCACCTACTTGTGAGGAAAAAATTGTGAAGAGGAAGCTGTCCTTTTTCATGTTGGGGACTGTGGACTTAGACTTAGAGGCCATCATAGTATTCTAGGTGCTTCACACTCAGCTGCAAACCAATTCTGTGCAAGCTGAGAGTCATCACCATAATTATTTGTGGAGGTGAACCCACGCACAGACGGGACGGGGCAAAGGCAGTCTTGTATTGATGATGACAGAATTTATTCAGCAGAGGATTCACAAAACTAAGGAATTGCACAACTGAATGCAAGAATCATCAAACTGGAAATAACAACAACTGGGGCACAAGGAAACAGGCATAGAGGAACCTGGACACAAGAGAACTGAAGGAATGCAGTTCAGTCACTGAACTGGCAAGTTCAGTGATTGGCATGACATCCATGTGTGCCTAGTCAGCAAACACTTGTGCAACTGAGAAAGAGCCAGACAGGGAAATGAGAGAAATGCCAACATAAAAATCTTAACCAAACTCACCAGAAAATCATCTAAAGCTCTGTAGGCCTCAGTTAAGGTCAGTGTAAAATGGTAAATGTGCATAAGTCTCGAGAATGAGACTTGGCCCAAACTGACAGAAATAAGGCTGCCATACTACCAGCTTCTCTGGGTCCTCTTTCCACACAATGACTGACACATATGGAGTGGGAGTAAAAACCAGTCACCCACTGGTTTATGAACAAATCCCTACCTCTTGAGTCACTCACCAGTGTTATAGATTCAACAACAGTGAATGGACTAGACAAAAATGCCGTCTGTCGGGGAATTTAAGAGCATCGACCACCGTGAACCAGAATGAACAAAAGCTGCTTGTTGATGATGTACTGTAATGATGTATTGTTGATGTTTTATACCCACTTGAAGTGGAACTTGTGTGTTGGTGTTTTTGTTTTCATGTACTTTCTCTTTTTCTTTTTCATTGCAAAATGTGGGGAAAAATGCAGCTAGTCTGTTATGTGAGATATCTCAGTTTTCCTAAACTTTTGAAAACACTATACAACAGCAGAATAAATTTCATACTACTAATAAATGTATCTAATTAATAGGAAGACAAAAGCCTCTTTCCTTAATTAAACAGCTTTTTTTTTGTTGCGGTGTTGCTCTTTGTTTCTTATGCCAAGGCTAAATTGTGCACACAAACTTAGCATGGTTGCCATGGTGGCTGAACATGTTAATTTAAACTCAATGGACAGCAGAGCATCAAGGCACAATGCCAGGGTTGGAAGTGTTCACTCCTGAAGGAGGCTTTAAAAAAATAGATCTTTATACAAGCAGCAGCCAGTCATCATGTACAGAATATTGTACCTTCTTGTTAAGCTCCAAAGCTGCTGCTTTTTCTTTAAAAAGAATGTAAGTAGTTTAGAGTTTCCCTTAATACATCTTCTGATGCATTGGAGAGAATGAGAGAATGTCAATGCATATGCAAGTCTGTGTATTTTGTTTTGCCCCCAGGGGATAATTTGGGAATGTTCATTCCCCTTGTCTGGTTTTAGGCTGTGACATACTTTCCTCGTTAGACAAGGATGCAAAGTGACCTTAATTACTGCAGTAGATTCATACAAGAAACTGAACAGTCCATGCAATTTTACAAGTTATTATTAATTTATGTTGTTTTCTGTTTGTCGTCATTGCAATTATATCCTTTAAAATATAAAACAAATCCAAACGTTTAGTGAAATTAAGAAAAAAATCAACAGTGCTGTGTTTTTTGCTTTTTCGTTTGCATTTTTTATTATCAATTTCAAACTCTGGTGTTAAACATGGAATCGTTGTCAAGAGTTTATACATTCACAGAACCAGATTTTTGGGACCTCTTGGATGAGTCATTGATTCTTGGAGTAATTTGGTAGACTAGCCACTCCTGCAAGAGTTCACCACTCTCCTATGGTTTCCCTATTTGTGGATAATGATTCTTAATGTGGTTCACTGGTAAGTTTTATGAACTTTACCAGACTGGTTTATGTCAATGAGAGGCTTTAAGAGCTGCTCCTGATTAGCATTTCTCTACATCCGGACATGATGTGTTGCTTTTTAAGACCTTTTGACCAACTTCGTGTAAATAAGTTCAATCTGGAAAGACTCAGACGGACAAAAGGGGAACAATTAAAAGATTTAATGACATGAATGAATAACAGTTCTTTGGCGCTCGGACCCCGGCAGCTGATCTGAGCTGAGATTTGATGTGAACTCGATGAACATCCCAATAACTGATTAGGGATGCTCTCCCCCCGGGGCCTGACACCCTGACACTGGTGGTGGTGGTCAGGAAAGGGTGCTATCCTAGAGAGCTGAAGAATGTGGGTGGAGAAGGGGAGGTGGTGGGTTGAACGCAGCTGGGAAGCGGCTGACAGCTTGGGTGTGGATCCTTATGCAGAGCCTGACTGATGATTGAACGTGTCGGGTGAGGTCCAGTGCTGAGGTCGGAGATAAGCATGACGTCGATGGGCGAATGGAGGGGGTGGAGTCTTCCAGTCTGAACTTCCGCTTTAGCTCCATTATATAGGTCCTGTCTTGTTCCATTGTCATTTGAGAATGAGATTATTTTTGTACTCCAACCCATCAGAACAGATGAGCAGTTCTGACACCCTGTCCTGAATTGAACCCGTATGCCCTGCCAGACAAAAATATTAGTAACTAGCACAGAATGTCCCACTGATTACAACAGACTTCCCTGCTCTGACTTTACCACCAGGATAATTGTAGACTTGTGGATTTGCTTCAGATTCACATGAGTATCTAGGAAAATGTCATTGATAAACTCTGTTGAATTTTGTGTGGAGTCAGAAGCTTTGAAAAGTTCAGGTTTCAATTAGTGGGTCAGTGGTGGTGAGTGATCTTTAGGGGATTCTTTAGGAAAAAGGATAGCACAAGATTGGCTATAGGTGCACACTAAGAATATAAAGATGAGTATGAAAACTTTCCAGATGTCCAGGCTTCTATATGCAGTCTGGGATCTTTCTAGATGGAATTGCATGTGATCCCTTTGCTTGCAGAAAGATCCAAGATATTCCTTCCACAGTCTGAAAATATGATTGGTGCACTTAGGTATGTGCTTGTGTGTATGTTTGCAACCATGTGTGTTGCCCTGTGGTAGACTGGTGACCAGTCCAGGGTGAACTCCTTCACACATCCGACGGTGAAGATAAGCACCAAGCCAGCTTTGGCCTGCAAGGAAGAGCTGATTAGACCATTATGAGGTGGATGGATAATAATATTCAACATGTTGAGCTAAAAAAAGTAAAAATATTGGTCAGATAACTTTTTTCAAATGTCAAAGACAAAGAAAATAAATAAAAGGAATATGTTTGATATGTTAATGATCATATGTGTTAATGTAAACCTTGATGAAAATGATGAGAATTGTGGACGAGGCCATAACCTGAGCAGACAGATGGGTCAGGAAATAATAAAGTTAGCATAACTGGTTGCTGATATACAGAAACCTGCATGTTTGAGTGCTTCTTGTTTTTAAGTTTAAGTCCTTAACTCCTACATTAACAGAGAAAAAAAAAGCCACCATATTTCACAATGGGGATGATGTGTTTTGGGTGATGTGGAGTGTTAGATTTCTGCCACAAATAATATTTTGCATGTAGAAGAAATAGTTTGATTTTAAACTAAAGGATTTGTATGAAATTCACTGAGCTGTTCAAATTTTGTGATATTGTTAGAACTTTTCGGCAACTGCACATCAACCTATGTGGTCCTTTGTCTTTCTGATGGAGTTTTTTTTTCTAGAAAACCTCTACAGCATTTACAGAATAATTATATTTATACCAAGACTAAGCTACATGTAGACAGACTCTTATTTAGTACTTAGGTGACTTCTAAAAACGCACTTGGCAATATGAATAATTGAATTGGATTATATTTAAGGGTATACAACCAAGGTGCAGAATAGAAATGTGTGAGATATTTTCAGACTTTTACTTAAAAATATAATATATATAAAAATGCATATACTGTATATATAAATGTCTTTTTTTCACCTCAAAA